CTTCTCGGTCGCCAACATGTCTCATCGTTCAAACCCTAGGCTTTTCATGATAGTCTCAAAGTAAACCATGCCCAATAACCAGGTACACGACTTAACGATCACATTTTTGAGCTTTTCGAAGGCTACTACTCAAAGAAATATGGATTACTCCAGAATTGCAACATCGATGTTCATCCTGAGTAAATGACAGAATAGAAACGATACGAATCACGTTGTGTACGTTCGCCATGCACTCTGAACATGAAATTAATGCGAGTTTTCTCATAAAACTAAAAGCATGAACCAAACTAACATGCCAATCACGATTATTATGAAATGAAACACACCTTTTACATCAGGTGCAGTCAACGAGTAAATTTGCAAAAATGTTTGGTATTTATGTTTGATCAAGAGTAACCTAATTTATGAACATTATTAAGGCTTAATTTAGTTTGGAGGGGAGAGGCCAATCTGTTCGCAACTCCCCTCCCTCTCAATCAAATTAAATTGCCCTCCCACTGTTTTTTGCTCCCACTGCCCTCTCCCCACTCAGTGTTTGTTCCCCGCTGCCTTCTACCCACTCAGTTTTTGTTCCCCTCTGCCTTCTCCCCACTCAATTTTGCTACCCACTGCCCTCTCCCCGCTCATTTTGTTTTTGCCTGTCCTCTGGACACGCAGTTGTATCAACTCTCTCCCATCCAGTTGGTTCAGGTGTCTCAATTCTCCCCTCTCAACAGTTTCTGCCTTCTCCCTATCATTTCCCAGAGAAGACGTTATGATCACCAGCTCCAATCCTTAAACACGTGTGAATTGAATTTAACGTTTTTCTTTATAGCAGGCGAATTTAATGGTAATATAATACCTATATTTTCCATGAAATGACAAAATGCCATGACCCATTTCACCGGCAACACTCTTTATTAAGAGAGTTGTACCCAAGTTCAAATTTTGCACTTCTGAACATACAATGCATTATGGGAGACAATAAAAAATCGAAGAAAGCTTAGAAAGAACTTGGGATCGGGGTATTCTCAGTCTAAACATTCCTCCCCTTTGGCAATTTGGTTTTTGATGCCCGCGGAAAATTCTGCATTTTGCCCTTACCCGCTCAATCTAAAAATGGAATTTGCCTGCCCTCTGAATAAAAATCTTCTCGTACTGGAATTCCCCTCTGAGAAACCCTATTTTTAATTCCCTCCCACTGAAGATGTTTTATTTTGCCTGCCCGCTAAAAATCCCTTGCGAACACATTTTTTCACGAACAGCTCCGTTGACTGCACCTGTTACATGCATATTTTAAAGAATATCGTCGACGCCCAGTAAAAACACTCTGGGCTTATAATCGTGAATGCCCTCAACTCGATAAATACCAAGTAAAAACACAGGGATGGGCTTCATACTCGGGAGGGGCTTACGATCGGGGAAGTACGGTACTTTAACGCAATTGGGCTTTCACTCTCAGAATACTGTGGTTCAAACGCATATTGCTCTAACCCAAGTTTTAAAAAGCACATTGTGCATATAAAAGCTGAGTTTATACTAATAGTACACAATGCTTGGCAGCATGAACGGCTATGTACAATGGCGTATACGAATGCGATCAAATACTAAAACGTCATAGCTTTGAAAAGTACCCGGATTATAAATATGTTCGTTCGTTAATTATTCTCCTCCATGAATGGCCTCCATGGCAAGCACTTTTAATGCCTATCCAAGCTACAGTTATAATTAAAACAAAATTAAACCACTGCAATATTATTTCGAATACAGTTTAGAATATACACAACTATAAATTAAGGCCGCATTTAGGTTCGCTTTAAAGAGGGTAGGCCAATATACAATAAAGTAATTTTCATTGGGCCCTCTGTAGGGACAAAAAACACAATATACATATTATAGGCTTGAGCCATTTACAACAAATTTTTCACTCAGATAAATTTTGTAGGTTTTCTTAAAAATGCCTAAAGAGGCTGAATTTCTGATATGGAATGGCAAGTTATTCCATAGGGTTACCCCTCTATACTGAAACGTCCTCTGACCCATGGATGTTTTCCATTTAGTAATGCGTAAATTATTTTTAAGAGAGGAACGTGTACTATACTTGTGGGTTTGGGAGATAGGACTGAACATTTCACTTATATATAAAGGCGCCAAGCCAAGTTGTACAGGTGAGCAACAAGTGGAATGGACACTTTGAACTAAATTGCTACAATTCTTCAGTAGTACATCCATTAGTGAAGTATATTCCCTAGTTGTTGGGGTGAGCAACCAGTGGAATGGACACTTTCAACTAAATTGGCACGATCCTTTGGTAGTACATTAATCAAGCATATCCCGTAGTTGTACAGGTGAGCAACCAGTGGATTGGACTCTTTGAACTAAGTTTGTATAATACTTCAGTAGTACACCCATTAGTCAAGCACAACCCCTAGTTGTGCAGGTGAGCAACCAGTAGAATGGACACTTTCAACTAAATTGGCAAGATCCTTCAGTAGTACACCCATTAGTCAAGCACAATCTCTAGTTGTGCAGGTGAGCAACCAGTAGAATT